TCAACCTTGAGCCGGTGAGATTTGAACCGCCGAACTGCAGATAGCAGTCAGCTGAAGTAGCCTGCAGTACTGCACTCTACCCACTGCGCCACCTCCTCGCCATTCCAACATCTCGTCCTATTTTTAGCATTGCTGTAGCCACGTTTGTGCCATTCAGTTATATGAATTTTTTGCTCCAATGCAATAGTGAGCATCGTCTTTTTTGAACTTGTACTGTTTTCTTCTGATGGAAAATTCCTTTTCTCGTTTTGAACACATGAAGAGTAGCTGTGACTAAAATCCCAAATTGCAACTGTGCATGCACTGCCTTCAATATCAGAACCCCGAGTCTCCCATTAACTGAATTTTGGGTGGCATTAAACATGATCTGCATTCAATTTTACAATTAGCGCTTAAGCGAATATTGCATTTTTTTGAACATGCACTAATCGTGATTTGTCTGTATTCCTCAAGTAAATCAGCTACATACCCCGACAGACAGGAACACATCGCCCAAGGCTAAAGAAATGGGAATGCAGCTCCTTGGTGAAGCAGATATCTGCAGCTGTTGGAGTCCTAAGAGAGCCACAAAAAATATGTCACAGTACTTAAAGATGTTCACCAAACCCACACAACAGGGACTGAATGGGGGCCCTTCTTTTTCCAGAGAAAACCACCCTTCCTCATGATTTACCACCGCATCTTCTGTAAGTTCCAGACATGTCGTAATCTCAGGATACCTGTAGGAAACACAACATTAATGGGACCAATACAAACCTATTTCTACCAAACAGAAAAATAAATGCATAAAAAACAGGTGATGTTAGAAAGCTGTTGAAGCAGCTTTGCAGTTAAGAATGGAATTTTTAAAATACGTATCACTATTTGGAATGTGATTCAGGGAAGAGCCAGGGTTTGATGCCACTGGTTTGATTTAACATGGAAAGGTGGGTAAATTCCTGAGTGCAGTGTTATGCAATGTATTGTAGTCTGTTCCACCTTTCTATGTGCAAGTCAAGAAAGTATGCACATCCTAATACTTTGGCCTTGTATTTTTTTCTACAGCAACAATCCTGTGACTGGCCTGAAGCTTATGCAACCAACTTTCATATATAAGGAAAAACTAGAACTCACAATTTCCTGGTTTCTAGGCTAGCACCCTACCCACTACCCCCAAACTAGCTCTCTTATGTCTCACATTTGGTGGTATTGCGGCACTGTTAGTATTTAATTTTTAAAAGTGAACTTGTAATAAAAAAAATACCCTCACTGAGATTCCAGTTTTAACTGGAGCCGAGGTGGCGCAGTGGTTAGGGTGCAGTACTGCAGGCCACTTCAGCTGACTGTTCAGCTGCAGTTCGGCGGTTCTAATCTCACCGGCTCAAGGTTGA